TGGCGCAGCTTTTTATTATAATAGACATTTTGATTTTTAAAAAAAACCTTTGAGTGAAGATTTCTCAGCAACCATCTAGTCAAACTTAATGAAAATTTTTTTATTTAGATTCTATAAATCCACAGAATTCAAATAAAAAAAAAATATTGAATTTGGCTAAGTAGTTGCTAAGATATCTTCGCTCAAAGTTTTAAAAAATTTGGCACAGCTTTTTATAATAAGGCTATATAAAATTAATTTTTTGGTTTTCATAACATAAAATTTTAAAAATGACTCGGCAACCCAGCTTTTAATTTTATTTTTAAAAAATTTTATATGTAAAAAACATATAAAACTTTTTTACAAAAATTTAAAAAAGTTTACCCGATTAATAAATATAGTAAAAAATTTTTTCAAACTTTTGTTGAATTTGACCTGGCCGGGTTATAAGAACCAATTAATTAAGTTTATATGGCCTAATAATAAATGTTTTGATTTTTAAAAAAACTTTAAGTGAAGGTTTCTCAGCAACCATCTAGTCAAACTCGATGAAAATTTTTTTATTTAGATTCTATGAATTCACAAAATTCAAATAAAAAAAAATATTTTGAATTTGGCCAGGTGGTTGCTGAGATATCTTCGTTCAAAGTTTTAAAAAAAATTTGGCACAGCTTTCTATTATACATTTTGATTTTTAAAAAAAAAATTTGAGCAAAGTTTTCTCAACAACCATCTAGTCAAACTTGATGAAATTTTTTTATTTAGATTCTACGAATCTGCAGAATTCAAATAAAAAATTTTTTATTTAATTCGGTCAGATGGTTGCTGAGATATCTTCGTTCAAAGTTTTAAAAAAATTTGGCGCAGCTTTCTATTATAATAGACATTTTGATTTTTTTAAAAAATCTTTGAGCGAAAGTTTCTCAGCAACCATCTAGTCAAACTCAATGAAATTTTTTTTATTTAGATTCTATGAATCTACAGAATTCAAATAAAAAAAAAATATTAAATTTGGCCACGTAGTTGCTAAGATATTTTCGCTCAAAGTTTTGAAAAAATTTGGTGCAGCTTTTTATTATAATAATAGATGTTTTGATTTTTAAAAAAAACTTTGAGCGAAGGTTTCTCAGCAACTATCTAGTCAAACTTGATGAAAATTTTTTTATTTAGATTCTATGAATTCACAGAATTCAAATAAAAAAAAATATATTGAATTTGGCCAGGTGGTTGCTGAGATATCTTCGTTCAAAGTTTTAAAAAAAATTTGGCGCAGCTTTCTATTATACGGTTTGATTTTTAAAAAAAAAATTTGAGCAAAGGTTTCTCAGCAACCATCTAGTCAAACTTGATAAAAATTTTTTTATTTAGATTCTATGAATCCACAGAATTCAAATAAAAAAATTTTTATTTAATTCGGTCAGATGGTTGCTGAGTTATCTTTGTTCAAAGTTTTAAAAAAATTTGGTGCAGCTTTCTATTATAATAGACATTTTGATTTTTTAAAAAAAACTTTGAGTGAAGGTCTCTTAGCAACCATCTAGTCAAACTCAATGAAAATTTTTTTATTTAGATTCTATGAATTCAAATAAAAAATATATATTAAATTTGGCCAGGTGGTTGCTGAGATATCTTCGTTTAAAATTTTAAAAAAATTTGGTGTAGCTTTTTATTTTGATCTACTGTATTTTGATAAACATTTTGATTTTTAAAAAACTTTGAGCGAAGGTTTCTTAGCAACCATCTAGTCAAATTCGATAAAATTTTTTTTATTTAGATTCTATGGATCTACAAAATTCAAATAAAAAAAACTTTATTGAATTTGGTTAGGTGGTTGCCGAGATATTTTCATTCAAAGTTTTAAAAAAATTTGGCACAGCTTTCTATTATATAGTAAAAAATGGTTTGATTTTTAAAAAAACTTTGAGCGAAGGTTACTCAGCAACCATCTAGCTAAACTTGATAAAAATTTTTTTATTTAGGTTCTATGAATCCACAGAATTCAAATAAAAAAAATTTTATTAAATTTGGTCAGGTGGTTGCTGAGATATTTTCGCTCAAAGTTTCAAAAAAAATTGGCACAGCTTCTATTTTGTAATAAAATCAATTTTGATTGGATAATAATTTATTCTAGAACATCGATCAAATAAAATTTTTTTTGTACTACCTAGTAGGGTTGCCTGCCGTAATTAATTACAACCTTTACGACATATAGGTTGCAATATTACGACATATAGGTGTAATATTACAACTTGTTAAAAACAATTACGGCAGGCAACTCTACTAGGTGGGTCTTGTAATAGCCCCTTTTCATAGGAAGACATTCAGAAAACGAAAGAACTTCAGTTTACAAACTAATAAATGCATGTAAAAAAGAATTTGTCACATATTTAGAAATAGGTAAAAGTAGTAAATTAATATTTGTCACTAATAAACTCATCGCTCAAAAAAATCAATATCCGAATAAATTATTAGCAAAATTATTTATCATTATCTTTTGAAAATTAAGTGAAGTAAATCAATCTTATTTTTAATTATCGCGGCCTTTATTAGGGATATAACACGACATTTAGCTTATATAATTAATGAACTATATAACATATCGGCAGATTTGCGGAATGGGTCTAAATTAGGGTCCCTGGATTTAACAATTGTAGAAAGCATAATAGCTGAAGTTTTGGTGTCGGCTTTACAATCGCATTGTTAAAATATATAAATCTTAATTTAGGTCAATTCCGCTACGATACTCCTATACTTATAATCGACCTACTATTTAACCCAAAGTTTCTAATATTTCAACTATAATGTTTAGAATACTTAAAATATAAGTGTAAGTACAAGCTTATTGTTATTACAATAGCATGTCAAATAGTACACACGAAGTTCTTTTCTTTTTGTTGATTGTTTCCAGTTAGAGCATATATATTAATATGCCAATATGACTAGTATAGGAGTAAATAGTAAAGATATTCGCTTCTAAGTGAAGTTCATGAGAAAGTTGATTATTTTTGATTATTTTTACTAACAAAGCGAAAAATGGCTTTTTTGCGGTGATTTTGTATTAGTGAAACGTTACGTTCTCAAAAAGTACTTTAAAGTGTATAAATAAGTTACCCGGGCAATTTATTTACATAAGCCAAATAGACGAATGTCCTCCTATAAAAATAGCTAAACGCGGTTTCTTTACGCGCAACTTTTTTTTACTGACAATCACGTTACACCAGATCTCGAATTTTGATTGGTCAAAATTAGTAATGGGCAAAATCGCGGATCCCAAAAATGGGGGCATTCGTATCGTATCCGCGTGGGATCCAATCTCGCGTGGGATTCCGCACGGGTCACGCGCATTGCCCATCACTAGTCAAAATGAGAAATTTTTTGTTTGTGGAATGCTATTTAAAATCGCGTCTTTTGGAGTTGATATTATCACACACTCACTAAAACTCTCATTTTAGCAATGTTTGTTCCAAGTAAAAGAATTCGTAATCAGGTAGATGTTTTATATTGGGCAAGCACCTTTTCCTTTGGTTTTCTTCTGTGAGATCATTCGAACAATTTGTTTGATGCAGTGAAAAGGTTGCATCGTATAAAACAAATTGCAAGGGTGATTCCGTTTGTTCTACATGGTTGTGTCGGTCCACAAATTGAGAAGATTCTTGATTCCATTCGTTCTACATGGTTGTGTCGATACACCAAAATATCAACTATCAAACCTCTACAGCCAAATCACCAAAACGAACCTAGGCCTTTTAACAATTAACATTCTAGACGATATAGGATAGGCTAGAATCGTAGATCAAAAAACCTCTGCTTCTAACAATGTACCCTTCAACACACGTCCACAAGTCGAGAATATTCTACTTTGTGAGATCACCCCAGGGGTGATTCCGTTCAATCTGTGGACATTCGGTCCACAAAGAGCACAAGCCAATGAAGTTCTTAGATAAGGTCTGCCGATTCAGAAAGGGGAATCGGTTACGCAATTTCCTTATTATAAAGAACTTACAGTTTATATTCCAATAAAATGTCTACTTAAGAATATTCACTAATTATTTATTTCTATTTTATTTCTATTTATTTCTAATATATTTTAGAGAGATAAAGAAAATGAAAGGCTGGGAATAAAGAAAACGAAAATCTGCTATATCGAGAAGTATCATCCAGATAATATGTAGATCATATAGCGCTAAGTATAATTAACTATCAATGATGTAAATTACATGACCTGAAGTTTTTTTAGATGGCGATTTAACCCCGGTTGGCGTGTATCTTTATCAGTGACAGGTACATTGTACGTATCATGGATATTAGTATAGGCATGTAATATGTAAAACGCTTGGGTATCCTGCATGAAGGACACTAAAAAAGGGTATTTTAAGCGGTAAATCTTACTGCACTTATTACTGTACTAAAGCCATGTACGTACGTACGTATGTTTTGTTAACCAAATCCTAAATACTTAATAGTTATCAGGCAGGCACTGCCTGATAACTGGTTTATTTGGTCAAAGATTTAAAATCAGACTAAGAAATTGAATTCCGAAGGAATTCAACTTCTTAGGCTGACTTTAAATCATTTGACCAAATAATTAAGTTATAAGGCATCTGCATGATTGATAACGGATTTATCCGGTAACTTATGACGATAGTCTGCCCAATAACAATTTTATTATTCGGCAACTATGTAGTTTCTGCCGAATAATAAATTTATTGGGCAGACGAATCATAATAAGCTGCCGGATAAATTATTTTATTGGTTAAATAATAGTCAAAAATTGATTATTTGGATATTTGAAAAATTTGAATTAGATTTCAAAATCTTCCGGCTCCTTGGTGCTTATGTGAGAAATTTTTGATATTCACCAATACTACAATAAAACGTTTGTATTACACTTGAAATGCAAAATATACTGAGTAAACTTTTATCATAGTTTTCATAAATCGACGAATTCACTCTTATAAGTTTTTGTCTAAAACCTTAAGTCGAAATATACCAATGATTTCTTCTCTAACGTTTGTGTTGGCTCAGTAAGGTTTGAATCTCCTAGCTGCTTTAAGATCGGCAATTTTCCGTTTGTCATCCTCAAATTTCTTACGCAATTCAGCGAGTTCTAAAATAGCCAATATTAAAAAAAAATTTTAAAATGGATCATAAATAAACTTCGTATAATATAATATAATATAATTATAATAATTACTTTCACGTTTAGCTTCGCGCATTTGGAAACGATAAAAATCTACCAATCCCTTGTTTTTTGGTTTTAAATTTTTCGCTACATCCGCTTTAACTGCTGTCACAGTAATAGTACCATCAGTATTGATATTTCTCTTTCCAGTTCCTGTGACCAAAATAAATCCATCTTCATCGGGTTGATTACGTCTTGCTTCTAAAGCTTTATGCTTTTCTTGTTCTGCTTCTTCAAATTTACGTATATATTCATTAACTTGTGCGTTAAGTTTGTTAGGATCCGCGCGAAGTTTTTGATATTCTTGTAACCATCCTAATTACTTAGAAGTTAGAATTTCTTGATATATTAAAAGAAATAATTATTATTATATTTCTTATTGTATAAAAAAAACAATAACTTACTTTTCAAACCCAATGGAGGAATATCTTGATCTCTAATATTCCATATCCTTTTTTTTTGCACCATATTAAGTGCATTAGTTAATCCTTCAGAATCTTTAAATATTATATGTGCTGTTGAACCCGGTATCAACAAATTTCTCGATCCTTCTAAGACCGAATTTTCGACAGTCTCATTAAATTTTTGTTTTTTCTTTTTCTTTGACTTTTTTCCTTGAATTTTATTTTCCATTGGAATTGACCCATCATTATTGTCAGCATTGATTACACTTGCTAAAAATTCATTATTATTTAATACTCCATGAAATAAAATTCGATCAATTATACCACATTCTTCAAATATACGTCTAATATGACATTCAGTTGTGTCTACTGGTAAATTCGTAATGAAAAGTGTTCTTTCTGCTGGGAGAATTGTCGAATTATCGCGAATATTTATACGTGAATCATGACTTTTAAAATAGCAATAATGAATTGATACAAGTGGATTATGTTTAATTGATGAAGGATTTGTGGATAAATTATCAGTTTGATTAGAAATTGACTCAATTTCAAGGGGAAGAATTTTAAACCCAGTTTTAGGAATTTCTTCTAATGGTTGTTCGGAATTTTCGGAATGTTCACCACAAATATTATTATCGTTGCTTTCAGAATTGGATAAAGAACTTTTATGAACTTGTTGATGCTTATTTCTTTTTTTTTTTGATCCCATTTTCTTTTTTAGATTACAAGGCTGTTCGCTCCTTAATCTAATTAGTTCAAAAAAAAAAAAAAAAAAACGGCGGTAATACCATTATTTAGTGTAACATGGATGCGTTCAGTAATGGGCCGAATCAAGTAATTCCAGTAATTCTTGTTAATGCTAACACAAACAGTTACACAATTGGATAATAAAGATCAAATTATAAACTGTAATAAATTTGCAATAAAACGAATGTTGTTTGCTATAATCTTACTTCTTACATCTGTTACATTAATTGAGTGAAAAGAATGGCGGCAGATTACAAACAAGTTTTAAGTGAAATTCAAAAACAAAATGGTAACAAGGTAAGCTTTATTTCTCTTGTAGTAGTTGTAGTTAAAGAGGCTCATAGAACAAAATTGAAAAGTCTTTTTTATGCAGAACTGTGTGGATTGTGGAGCACCGAACCCGCAGTGGGCTTCAGTTTCTTTTGGCATTTTTATTTGTTTGGAATGTTCTGGTATACATCGATCATTTGGAGTTCATGTTAGGTTCGTATTAACGAGGTTTATTTTGAACTGGTAGACTATATGATATAGCACTAGGCTGCATTTAATCGTCACCCTCAAAAGTGATAAATATTGAAATTTTGGGTAGACAGATCGAATGAACAATTGAATAATCTGCAATGCTATTGAATCAAATTTTGCAGAAATTGATTTTCGCGATTCAATGTGATGTCACATGGAAACATCGACAAGTGGGTAAACCTTATTTATTTATTGTGATCTTAATATTATATTATTCAAATTCAGTTTTGTTCGTTCAATCACGATGGATAAATGGTATGAAGATCAAATAAAGAAGATGAAAGTAAGTTTGAGGATTTCCATTATAATTAATTTAAAAATCCGAAAAATATTTATAATCATTTGAATAACCAATACTTTAATTTCACTTGTAAATAAGCTCGGAGGTAACACAGCATGGCGAGATTTTTACGAGGCTTCATCAGATTATTATCCAGAAATGTCCTTAAAAGACAAATATAATAGTAGCTTTGCAGCAAATTACCGAGAAAAGGTTCGAAATAATAATTTTAATTATTTGAAAAATAACTGTAATCTAAATTATATTTACTTCAGTTGACAGCACAATGTGAAGGAAGAAAATGGTCATCTTCATCTTCAACATCAATGAGTCGCCAATCAAGCCGCCCTTCATCAATCAGCGGCAAACGTACGCCTGCTCCAACACCTAATCGATTAGAAACATCAAGCCCTTCTTCATATCAATCCTATCAAACAACTAATAATATCAATGAAACCTTGCCGAACGAACCACGTAATGAAACATATTTTGCGAACCTTGGACGAGCCAATGAAATTAGGCCGGATAATTTACCGCCAAGTCAAGGTGGAAAATACACTGGATTTGGCAACCCTGCATTTACAAATGAACCTTCATCTACCTCATCGTCCGCTCCAGATCTGGACGAATTAATGAAAAATCCAGTTGGTGCTTTGGCTAAAGGTTTAAACTTTTTAGGTTACCATGTTGTAGAAGGTGCTAAATTGGCAGCGCAAGGTGCGGAAACATTGGGACATACTGTTAATGAGCACGTGATAAAGCCTACTACCGAAAAAGTCAGGGACCCAGAATTCACTCAACAAATTTCTGGATACGTGACAGGAATTGGTAAAACGGTATGTAATTTGATTTCATAAATAATAAAAACTTCTTTAATTTATAATTACAAAGTTAATAGAAAGTTTTATTAGGTTACTGAGACTGCATCTCGTGGAATTTCAACCATCTCCACGTCCGCAAGTTCCTTTGCTCGATCAAATTATTCCCCAATAGCTAATAATGAACGATTTAATAATAATTCTAATAGTATTTATGATAGTAATAATAATTATAATAATAATGATGATAGTGATTTCTTCTCTAACACGATTAATCATTATCAACAAACTAATTCTCCGGTCAGTAGAAGTAATTCACCGTTAAATCGTACTAATATTACTAATACGCGTTCGGCTTCACCAAAGACTTCTGCTAGTTCAACTACAAGAAGAAGAGGAGAGTCGAAAAAAGATGATGGGTGGGAGGATGAATGGAGTAGTTGGTGAAAACTATCTTTAAAAAAAAAAACAAAAAATCCATTATTCATATAGACGTCTTATAATTTTATAAACAATATTTTTGTTGGCTACATATTTTAGTTGATCAGGATAGATAGATAGATAGAAATTACATAAAATTAGAGAAAGTAATTTTGTTAAAAAATTTATTTTATATATACAGTATATATATATATATATATGAATAAATCTGCTGCGGCACGCGAACTGCCGACTCCGATGCATGTTGATTATAAAGAAATTTTCTGAATTTGGAGTTAACTCCACTTGCACAATACAAAAAAATAATTGTCATTTGATCATACATGTTACATACATATTACACGGGTTTCTGTTTCGGAAACGACTTGGTTATCAACATTTTATCAGGATCCAATACAAAGAGGAACTCAACTTTTGGTAAAGTATATATATTCACAACCGTTAACTTACTACTCTTACAACTTCCGCAGTTAAAACGATTAAGTCAAAGATCTCTTTAAACTTTCACATACCGACTTTGTTCTTTTAGAAACACAAATTAGACTTTTAAAACACAGCTAGAGTTAGAAAATGATTAAAATCTGGTCAATTAAGAAGGACAATTCTTCCGCTGAAAAAAAAAAATCGAAAATTAGTGCTGCTCAGATTCGTGTTCAAAAAGGTATATTTATTTTTTTCTTTTCTTTTTGTTGCCTTCTATAGCTTGAAGCGTTTATTTTGTCATCACTGTTCATTGATCTTCAGAAGCAACTGCTATTTTTTATTCGGCCTCTCTGGCAAGAAAAATTCTTACTTGTGTTAAAATCTCTTTAATAAGTTTCTCACTAATCCTGAACTAACTCTGTTTCTTTTTTACTTTAATAGACTTAACTGAGCTAGCACTCCCGGATACAATGCAAATGAGTTTTCCGGATGAATCAGATCTTCTCAATTTTAACTTGTCCATAACACCTGACGAAGGTTTGTATTTTGGAATAACTTTTGTAAAATTGGTTTGCTTCGTTTTTACTTAATGGCTTGTATACTTATGTTAGGCTTCTATCGAGGTGGTGTGTTTAAATTCACTTTCAACATAAACAATAATTATCCTCATGACCCCCCAAAGGTTCGCTGCACTCAAAAGGTAATAAATAGTCTTTAACTACATTTTGTTAAGAATAGTGAGAATGGTTCCACCGAATTTTTATTAATATATTATAATCAACTTTTGTTAATTCTATATTATGCTTTTTAGATTTATCATCCAAATATTGATCTTGAGGGTAATGTTTGCCTGAATATCCTTCGTGAAGATTGGAAACCTGTCTTGAATTTAAATTCTGTCTTAGTGGGATTGCAATATTTGTTCTTGGAACCAAATCCTGAAGATCCACTCAATAAGGGTAACGTATTCGACACTTCATTAAATTATTTGTTTTCTTTCATTTTTTGTTGATTATTTCTCAACCTTTCGTTATTATTGCTATGATTTCATTTTTTTAGAAGCGGCTGAGGAGATGAGAAATAATCGGAAAAACTTTGAATACAATGTAAAACAATCGATGAGAGGCAAAGATGTTAAGGGCGTCTATTTTGAAAATGTACTATCTTAGACATTCGTTTCCTTTCTACCTTACTGTTGACCCTCTTTATACCAAACCCTGCCTATAACCAACTAAAAGGTTCTGAGCAAAATTACTTACATTTATTTACATTCGTTCGTTCGATGTACCCCGATTTTATACAATAAATTTGCTATACCGCTCCGAACCTAATTGTCTGGCCAATACATATAGTCCACCAAATATAAATATATTTTTTTATATAATGAGCATTCTTATTAGAACATTCATGTTTAAGACCGCACAAAGCTTAATGTCACATGGACTCATTAATAAAAAAAGCTGGCTTGTTATGGTAAAAAAAAAAAAGTTCTAATCATGTTCTTTGCTCAAATTTCAAGATGTGTTACATAATTAAAGTTTTTATAAAAAGATATTAATGTTATTATATTATAGTAAAATTCAATCTGTTAAGGGGTTGCCATAGAAGGTAATTTCTATTGTTAAATTTTAAGTTATAATCGATTTTTGATAAAAAGGTTTTTGTGGTTTCCATACTATGTCCAATTCAACATTTGTTAAAGTTTTCACTGTTCTCAAAAAAATTAATCCTATCTCTCAATCAAGTTATCTTCAAATTGTAATTATTGATCCGTGGTCGAGTTATCAAACTATATTTGATCGTAATCTATCATTTTAAACTATAACGTGATATGTATGGTGAGACAATTTAAGGTACTAGTTATCAGTCGGGTCGTAGATGATAACTGGTTATTCATCTACTTTGTTACCCAACATGTCTGACGTAAGCACTGAGTGATTCCGTGCAACTTACTCGGTCATCTAATACAAATATGCAAAATTCACTCACCTCAGTGAGTTTTGCATATTGTATTAGGTGAATCATTCAGTGATCACATAGGACGTGTCAGATAACGTTTTTTAAAAGAACATATTAGATATCTGATATATTGTTTATATAAATATCTAATAAAACTAGTTATATACTATACAGTATATTGTTATTTAGTGATTTATTGTGATAAATTAAATATAATTAAAATTTAAATCAAGATTTATTGAGTTTAACTAAATTAAATATTTGATTTAACTTAGATTTAATAGTTAAAAAAATAATTTATTAATTTTTGATAAATTTGTTAATTAAAATTACTTAAAAATTTATTAAAATAACTTATATTAATTTTTGTATTAATACATGCTAGTCATACAGTATCTTTTTATTATAAATATTTATATTTTTCTGGTTACAATAAGAGTATAACTACTGTAGCTATATATACAACTTTTGCTTATTTAATTTAAATAGTTTAGGTTAAGATTTTATATTAAAAGTATATAGTATTTGCAATTTATTAGAAAATTATTTATTTAAACTTTTTAATTATACTGTAATTTATTTTATTTACTTATTTAAACTTTTTATTTTTTTATTTTATTTTTTAAGCAGTCTTGTTTTTATTTATTTGAACTGCTATATGACTATTATATATATATATAATCTTTATAGTATAATGTTCTAATTTAATAAAAATTTACCAAGCACTCTGCCCAGTGTGACTTGCTATAACAACAATTTATCTCCCCCAGAACTCTTAACTTTCTAAGAATTTTGTATTATGAAAATACTCTTTTGATTAATAGTTGGCTATTGTCTACCATATTAAGTATGCTTAAAATTAAATTTGATTTTGATCAAAATAATCTTGTGTTTATGTTTTACTTTGTCTATCTGAAAATAAAAAGTGTAAACAATGCTAATCTTTTAGAGAGGGTAAGCTAAAATGTCCACTTTTTGTTAAAAATTTTGGTAAGGTTAGCAAAATACAAAAAAGAGAAAAAAAAATACTTAAAACTACTAAAAAAGTATAAGCTTTTTTTTACTAGAATCAATAGTATACTGAAGCCTAAGTTTTTCTAATAAGTAATAAACTTTAAACTTGTTAGTAAGTAGTATAATATATAAAAACTACTTCTAAATAACAAATACTATGCTTGCAATAAGTAATAAACTCTAAGGCTATTAGCAAGTAGTATATGAAAACTATCTCTAAATAATAGCTGCTGTCTTACAGTTACTTTTTCCATGTTTTATGTTAAAGTCATCGACTAAATATTAGTATACTATATTTTTTTTTAGTCAATAGTTTTTAAAAAATTGTAGTCCAAGTAATTATTAAAAAAGTTGTATATAGAGTAGTTATAATTTTTTTTTTTTTAAAAAATTTGGCAGTCTTGCCTCTACTTTATTAGACTTTATAATATTATACTGTGAAATATTAAAATTTTTAAAGGGTATAAACTCTAACATCACCTAAATTAGCTCACCTAGCTCTTTGTAACCAAAGTTCAAATTACCCATATATAACCTGCTATAGGCAGGATTCTTTTTCAAAATATTCTCTTTTGCATTTAAAAAAAATAGATTTTTACCAAAAGATTTTTACTAGCTCATCAAGACTATCTATTCTTTCTTTTAAACTTTTTTCACCTAGATCTAGACAAAATAGTTTATCTTTTACTTTTTTATAAGGAAAGAAAAAATATGCTACATCTATGAAAAAACAAAACTATCTAGAAAAAAAAAAGAAAAAAATATTTAACTGAAAAAAAAAGAAGTTCTAAATATAGTTTTATCATAATAGGACAAAGATGAAAAGAGCAGAAAAAAGACAGAAACTACCTTAAAAAAACTAACAAAAAAAAACAAAAGAAAAAAAAATTATATACTAATTGCAACTAATTAATATATCTTAGCTATAAAGCTTTACTTTAACATTAAGACTTGTTCTAAACATGTCACCAGGGTCAGGTATTTCCTAAATAGAGTTATTAATCTCATTCTCATACTGTAGCACCATAATAATAAACAAAACAAACATGTAGTTGTGTTTTACTGAGTTTGTTCGAATTAGGTAAGTATAAACAATGCTGATCTTTTGGAGGGGTAAACTGAAATGTCTACTTTTTGTCAAAATTTTTGATGAGGCTGACAAGATGCGAGAGAAAGAAAAAACACTTGAGACCACTAAAAGAGCATAAGTTTTCTTTTATTAGAATCAACTAACCACTCGAGTCTACACAGTACTAAGTTTTTTTGGTAAATGATAAACTCTAAACTTGTCAGCAAGTAGCATATAAGAACTCCTTCTAAATGACAAGTACCATGTCTGTAGTTAATGAGTGATAAACTCTAAAGCTGTTAGCAAGTAGTATATGAGAACTACCTCTAAATAACAGCTGCTAACTTATAGTTTCTTTTTTTATATCTTATATAAAAGTTATTAACTTTACTCTAGTGTACTGTTTTTTTTTTTAGTAAAAAGTTTTTTAAAAATTGTAGTTCAAATGATTGTCAGAAAGAGTTAAAAATTTGCTTCTAGTTGTTATAATATTACAATTTTTTAAAAAATATAACTATTAACTAAAAATTTAATAGTTTTTAAAAATCAGAAGTTTTGTATAAAAGGCTATTATAATATCACAATTTAAGAGAAATATAACTATTAACTATAAATTAATAGTTTTAAAAGATAGAAGATTCTAAATACCTGAATTTAAAAAAGTATAAATTTTAGTTATTTGAATTTGAAAAAGAAAAAAATTTATATAATAAGTGTTAATTCCTTAATTTATAACTTTTTAAAAATTTTTTTTTAGGTAAAAATGCCTAACAATTTTTAAAAAAGTAGAAATCTACTGTAGTTTTTACTAATAATAACTTATTATTTACTGCTTTCTTTTAATAAAAAATTATTTTTATATAATCAAACTTCTTTAATTGCATCTCACTTGAAACTATAAAACAAATTTTTAAAAATATTTATTTAGAGAAAGTATATATTTATAGAAGGAATTATTACTATATTTCTATATACAGTATCTGGAACTATAACAAGATATTTATTTAGAAAGAATTTATATAATAGATGTATTTATAAAGAGTACAATTATAAAGATCTGACTATAAAAAGTACAGGATATACATGTTGATTAATTTTGTAAGTATTAGGATTAATATGAAACAAGACAAAAATTTTTATTAAAATACAAAAAGCAGATTTATTAATAGGAATGGCAAAAAAATATTTTAAACAGTTTTTTAATATTTTTTATTGTTTTAAAACTTTTTTTAAAACATTGGTGTCTGATTCTAAAATTTGGCATAACTTTTTCTGATGATCACTTAAACCAAATTTTGCTAAAAAAACTTTTCAACAAAAACAGTAGAAACTAACTAGCCAAACTATATAAGATGTGAAAAGAGGAACCATAAGTCAGCACCTGTCATTTAGAGGTAGTTCTCATACACTACCTGCCGACAGGCTTAGAGTTTATCACTCACTGCAAACCCGGCGCTTGTTGTTTAGAGATAGTTTTTATATGCTATCTGCCGACAAGTTCAGAGTTTATCACTCATCAACAAAATATAAGTAGCACAGTTCTGGCTAGAAAGAAGACTATTTCTGTTGTTTCTAGTAACTTACTTTTCTTTAAGTGGTATCAAAAGGTCTTTTTCTCTTCGTTGTTTTGTGCCAGTTCTACCAAAATTTTTTAATAAAAAGTAGGCATTTTGGCTTACTCTCTTCAAAAAATCAGCATTGTTTATATCTACCAAATCAGAATGAACTCAGTAGAAAGCAACCACATATTTTGTTGTTTTGCGAATATAGTGCTACAGTACAGAGAAGAAATCGTTACTTTTGTTTAGAAGATACCCGAGTTGAGTCAGTGCCTGGAACAAGTCCCAAAGCTAAACCGTCAGTTTATAATTGAGATATAGTAATTAGTTGCAATTATTATATAATTTTTATCCTTATGCTTGGCACAGGCTATAATAGTATGTTATAGCTACCTTTCTTTTTTTTGCTTTTTTCATCTTTGTTTTTTTATATTAGACTATTTTAGAATTTATTGAAAGTTTTTTTTTCCCACTATGAGGTGTTTTTTTTTCTAAAATATTTATGTCTTTCATAAATATAGCTTTATTTTTTTTACTTTTATATATAAATAAGGGTTTAATTATGTTG